AGTGGGCCTCTGTAATCCCAGGTGCTCAGGAGGCTGAGGCAGGAGAATCACTTCAGCCTGGGAGGTGGAGGTTGCAGTAAGCTGAGATGGCCCCACTGCACTCCAGCCTGGGTGACAGAGTGAGACTCCATCTCAAAAAAAAAATAGGCCGGGCGCGGTGGCTCAAGCCTGTAATCCCAGCACTTTGGGAGGCTGAGGCGGGTGGATCACGAGGTCAAGAGATCGAGACCATCCTGGTCAACACGGTGAAACCCCGTCTCTACTAAAAATACAAAAAAAATTAGCTGGGCATGGTGGCGCGTGCCTGTAATCCCAGCTACTCAGGAGGCTGAGGCAGGAGAATTGCCTGAACCCAGGAGGCGGAGGTTGCGGTGAGCCGAGATCGCGCCATTGCACTCCAGCCTGGGTAACAAGAGCGAAACTCCATCCCAAAAAAAAAAAAATAATAATAATAATAATAATAGTGTCAAGTGAGAGATATTTATTTCTATCTGAATTCATTGTATGCTTTCTATCTAATCTTTAGAGTGAAGATGAAGCTGGTTGTAGCTCAGTTGATGAAGAAAGTTACAAGACTCTCAAGCAACAGGAAGAAGTATTTAGAAATCTAGATGCTCAGTATGAAATGGCAAGATCACAAACCCACACACAAAGAGGAATGGGTTTGGGTTTCACATCTTCAATGCGAGGAATGGATGCAGTTTGAAAAAGATCACACCTGTAAAGTTTGGGACTTTATAGACTTCTTGTTCTGATGTCAGGTCCTTGTTCACCAAACAGCTAGCATTCTAGCTTGCATGGGTGTTGCATTGACTTTAATTTATTGAAAAATCCGAATTTTTGTAAATATCAGATCAGTGATACTGGTGTTAGTGTTGTAATCAGGTTAAACCCACTTCCATTAAACTTGACAGGACTACAGAAGGACAATATTTTTTAGTTCATGAATTCTACTTTTCAAATATAAAAGCTGCAGGTGGGGATAAAATCTCATACATGGATTTTTTTCGTGTCTGCTGTCTTGTGTACTTTTGTACTTAACCTTGTACAGTTATTTTCATCTCTTGAAACATGAAAGAAATGTTATGTAGATGTTCTTTAGAAGATCTGGCCATTTGGCTCATAATCCAGCACAGATAAGCTGGGTGGTAATAATAATAAAAATGGTTTTCTCAAAACTGGTGTTAATTTAAGTTACCTGGGATGTTTCTTTGAATTTCTTTTATGGTTTCTGTAGCATTTGGCAATTGCTGTTAGAAAACACTAGCTAGAAATTTCCTCTTCCCCCTTTTTTTAAGGTCAGTTATCTATACTACAGGCAATATCATGGTGAGTAAAAGTAAAAATTGGGAGGAGCAAACAAACATTAAAATAATATGTTTTCCTATTATAAGGGACAGATGGTATACAGTATTTGTCAAATATTACACATGTTATTCAGGAAATAGATTAATGCATTAAAGGGATGTAAGCACTTTTATTTTAATAAAGTGCCTTATAACAAGTTATTTGTATGCCTTTTGCTCATTATCCCTTTGAAGTCTTCTCCAACATAAACTACAAAATATCAGAAAATTTTTTTGTTTTGTTTTTGTTTTTTTGAGATGGAGTCTTGCCCTGTTGCCTAGACTAGAGTGCAGTGGCCTATCTTGGCTCACTGCAGCCTCCGCCTCCCAGGTTCAAACAATTCTCCCACCTCAGCCTCCCGAATAGCTAGGATTACAGGTGCACCACCACACCTGGCTGATTTTTGTATATTTAGTAGAGACGGGGTTTCACCTTATTGGCAAGGCTGGTCCCAAACTCCTGACCTCAGGTGATCCACCTTCCTCAGCCTCCAAAAGTGCTGGGATTATAGGTGTGAGCCATTGCACCTGGCCTAGAAAATACTTTGTCACTAGTTCGAGCATAAATCTGGAGCTAAGGGGTAATTGCAAAACTTGAAGTTAATCTGTTTTCATTACAACAAATTAGTAAGGTTTAGCTTTCCTTTGAAAATCATTTGGAAAACTGCATGAGAGCGAGTTACAATAAGGGAAGATTTTATAGGAATAAGATTGACAGCCTTATTTTAAAAGCTGGAATTAAGTGCTACAAACCTGCTTGTTATATTTTTGTTACACATGAAAATAAGTGATTGGGTTTTTTCCTCTTGCTCTTCTAGGCTGGAGTATAGTGGCTCGATCATAGCTTACTATAACTTTGAACTCACCTGGGCTCGAGTAGCTGGGACCACAGGTGCTCACCATCACACCTAGCTTGTTAAATTTTTGTAGAGACAAGGTCTTGTTACATTGCCCACGCTGGTCTTGAATTCCTGGCCTCAAGCAATCCTCCCACCTCAGGACTCCCAAAGTGATGGGAGTCCCATCCAGATTATAAGATTTTCACCTAACCAGATTATAAGATTTTTAATGTTTTTTAGTGAGCCTTTCATTTTTCCGGAGCACAGTAATTCTATAGGAAAATGGCTTTTCACCATGTTTCAGTGACAAATCTAAGCCTTCTAAGGAAATGACGTTATGGATCACTTCGTGATCATCACATTTTTCATTTAAGCTCGGCCTTCTCAAATCAATCTAAAAATGTTCATGACCTTGTAAGGCAATGTGGATGCAAAAGCTTCCTGTGTGTCTACAGCAGTTTAGGAGCTGACCGTACATAATGAGTGGTACGGTCTGTTCTTGCTAATCTAGAGCAGCACTGTATATATTATTGTTGTTTTTGAGACAGAATCTGGCTCTGTTGCCCAGGCTAGAATGCAGTGGCACGATCTCTGCTCACTGCAACCTCCACCTCCTGGGTTCAAGTGATTCTCCTGCCTCAGCCTCCCAAGTGGCTGGGATTTCAGGTGCCTGCCACCACGCCCAGCTAATTTTTGTATTTTTAGTAGAGATAGGGTTTCACTGTGTTGGCCAGGCTGGTCTTGAACTCCTGACCTCATGATCCACCTGCCTTGGCCTCCCAAAGTACTGGGATTACAAGCGTAAGCCACTGCATCCAGCCTACTGTATATATTGTATAAAATATATGTGTATTGGTCCAAGTGATCCATCTCGCTCCCCTGAGTAGCTGGCACCAAAGGCCCATGACAGCACACGGGGATGATTTTTGTAGAAATGATCTTCATCGTCTCAGCCTCCCAAAGTGCCACCTGGGATTCAGACGTGAGCCACAGTGCCTGACCTAACAGTATCTTTTATTTAATTTTTTTGTTTTTTTTGAGTCGCCAAATGCAAATAGTTGAAAGATGAAATTATAGCTGTCCCTTGAACAACATAGGTTTGAACTTCAAGAGTCCACTTAAATGGAGTGCAGTTGCGTGATCCTGGCTCACTTGCAAACTTCACCTCATCTCCTAAAAAACCAAGGCCCGTGTGGTGCTCACATCTGTAATCCCAACACTTTGGGAGGCCAAGGCGGGCAGATCACCAGGTCAGGAGTTTGAGACCAGCCAGACCAACATAGTGAAACCCTGTCTCTCCTAAAAATGCAAAAATTAGCCAGGTGTGGTGGCATGCACCTGTAATCCCAGCTACTCAGGAGGCTGGGACAGGAGAGTCACTTGAACCTGGGAGGCAGAGGTTGCAGTTAGCCAAGATCATGGCCCTGCACTCCATCCTGGGTGACAGAGTGAGACTCTGTCTCAAAAAATAAAATTAAAAAAAAATTAAATGGCCAGGCACAGTGGCTCCTGCCTGAAATTCCAGTATTTAGGGAGGCAGAGGCAGAACTATAGCTTAAGCTCAGGAGTTCAAGCTCTGCCTGGGTAATACAGCAAGACCGCATTGTCCATCAAAAGGAAAAAAAAAAAAAAAATGTAAAATGTGTAAATGACTTCCCAATGTTGGGATTGGAGAGAGGCTTCCTTAAGGGCCTTTCAAGTACTGACCTAGTGGTGTTCCAGCCTCATCTAGGTCCACTCTGCCTTTTCATTCAACATGGTGGTTCTTACACCTAAGACACTCTTCCTTCCATCCTTCCATGTGCCCACCCCCACCTTTGCCCACCCTGAAAGTCTCACTTCCTGACTGCACTGACTCCCCACAGACTATGGTGTTTGTTAAATATTCATAACTTCCTGTGTTTTTCACATTTGTTTGATGAATATCCATCAACATCCATCTCCACCCAAGAGCAGGAACATTTAAAATTAGGAAGTTTTTGTTGCTTTTTGTGGACTATAGTCTTCGTGAGAGGAGGAATTACTCTGTTTTGGTTACTCTTTGCATCCTCGGGTCCTCGACAAGTGCCTGGCTCATTGAAGTGGTAAATAAAATAATGCGATTCAATGAACAAGTCATTGAACAAGAGAAACCACAGAAAGCTTTAATAGACTAATGTCGAATCTAGTTAATTTGACATTAAAAACGAAACAAGCTCAATAAGCTAACTTATATACAACAGTCGTCTGTAGCAACGCTGGAGTCTCTCACTCTCTTTTATTTTTATATTTAGTTTCATTCAGTTCCCTTTCAGGCTGTGGAGTTCCTTATTCTAATGCTGCTGTTAAGCGCACACCCCAGAGTTTGTGAGAAGCTATGCGTCGTGCTCTGATTTTTCAGCCTTAGTTGCCTAACAGGAACATCCCATATTGGTTTTGTTTTTGCTTTTGAGACAGGTTGTTGCTTTGTCGCCCAGGCTGGAGTGCCGTGGCGCCATCTGGGCTTACTGCAGCCTCGACCTCCCAGGCTCAAACAATCCTCCCGCCTCAGCCGGCCGAGTAGCTGGAGCTACAATCGTCCGGCTAATTTTTATATTTTTTGTAGAGTCTGAGTCTCGCTCTGTTGCCCAGGGTGGCCTCCAACACCTGGACTCGTGATTCTCCCGCCTCGGCCTCCCGAAGGGTTGGGATTACAGGCATGAGCCATCGCGCCCTACCCCCATATTCCTTTACCGCATTCTAACCTACTCCGGCTTTCTTCACGTTTCAAAAAGGACCAATCCCAGGATGCAATGCAGACAATGAGAACCAGTCGCTTAAAACCACACGTCCCAGAATGCCGTCCCTCAGGCAATCGCGGAGCGCGATTGGCCCCGCTGCATTCTGGGAGTTGTAGTCTCTCGCGACTGGCCCCACCCCGTGTGCAGTTTTCGGGGCCTAAGTCTGGAGAAAACCCTAGCGGGTGGCTCGCCGCGGCTCAAGTTCTGGAGAGCGGTGCCGCCCTTAAACCTTGGTCCCAGAGCCCTGGTGGTCCACTCCGCCTTTTGTCGAATCTTTTCCACAGCCCAAAATGGCGGCGGAGGTGTATTTTGGCGATCTAGAGCTGTTCGAGCCGTTCGACCACCCAGAGGAGTCGATTCCGAAGCCCGTTCACACTCGCTTCAAGGACGACGACGACGACGGCGACGAGGAGGACGGGAATGGCGTCAGCGACGCGGAGCTGCGGGAGCGGCTTCGGCAGTGCGAGGAGACCATCGAGCAGCTCCGCTCCGAGAATATCCTTCCCGCTCGCTGGGCCCTGTCACTCGGGCGTGGGGTCGGGGCGGCGCCCGGGGAGGGCGCTGGCGCGGGCGGAAATTCCAGGAGGGCCAGAATTCCAAGTGATTGTCACCTGCCCGCGGGTCGCGAGTCTAGGGTGCGGGGTGCGCGGGTCGCGAGTCTAGGGTGCGGGGTGCGCAGGCTGCCCCGGCGCCTCGACGCAGACCTCTTCCTCTCCCGCAGGCCGCCTCCTGACCAGACCCGCTCCTGCCTCCCACTCGGATGCCGTGTTTTAGGGTTATTTCAGGCTGCTCACCTGACAGATTGTACACAGGCCCCCACTTGCCCCCTCGCCTTGAGGTCGTGAGAAGATTTCATATTTTGCAGCGACGCTCAAGTTGTGCCGTCATATTATAGTTGTAGGTGATGAAATACCGGTTACTTAGATCGGGGCAAACGCCAGTGGTCCCAGGATGCAGAGTTGGGGGCCTCAGGGAATCCGGGTGTGCCGAGGTAATTGGTTAATCGCTTGATTAAAATTGGGGATTAATTTTAGAATTCTTCCACTCGGAGCTTGCTTCTGTGTTGAACATACATTGCAGCGCCTTGGAGAAAACTCGCCAAAGAAGTTTCTGTTAGGCTTGAGTTACATGATTGCAGGTTTTTCGTGATTTGCTAGTATGTTTATTTACATTCGCAGAGTTTTATAGGTAGTTAGCTTTGGTTCGGGTAGTTTTCCTTTTAAAATTTGTAGAGACCTGAAAGTGACTGGTATGTCAGCTTTTTTGAGGGACGGCCAGGCTGGAGTGTGGTGGCGCGATCTCGGCTCACTGCAGCCTTCGCCTCCCGGGTTCAAGGGATTCCCCTGCCTCAGCCTCCCTAGTAGCTGGGATTACCAGGTGCTCGCCACTATGCCCGGCTAATTTTTGTATTTTTAGTAGAGATCGGGATTTCACTATGTTGGACAGGCTGGTCTAAAACTCCTGACTTTAGGTGATCTGCCCGCCCCAGCTGCCCAAAGTGCTGGGATTACAGGCCTGAGACACTGTGCCCAGCGGGTATATCAGCTTTTTAGGTTTTTGAAGCCCGATTTATTTTTCCCAGAATGTCATCTTCCTCCACATTGTGAGAAGAATTTTCAGAATACAAAATGTTGAGGCAGGGCGTGGTGACTCATGCCTGTAATCCCAGCACTTTGGGAGCCCGAGGCGGGCGGATTACGAGGTCAGGAGTTTCAGACCAGCCTGGTCAACATGGTGCAATACCGTCTCTACTAAAGATAAAAATAGTTGGTTGTGTTGGTGCATGCCTGTAATCCCAGCTATTCCTGAGGCTGAGGCAGGAGAATCGCTTGAACCCGGGAGGTGGAGGTTACAGTGAGCTGATCTTACCATTGCACTGTAGCCTGGGTGACATGGCAAGACTCCATGTCAAAAAAAAAAAAAAAAAGGTTGAAGGGATTCTACAGTGGACATCCATAGATTTCATTCCAAATAAAAGTTAACAGTTTATTACACTGCATTCACTTTATCACATAGTGGCTGTTGAAAGGTTTGACAGCAACACTGGTGTTTTAATAGTGTTTTTGGTTCAGTTTGTTAGTCTCTTGAACTCCAGGATTATGTCTTAGAATATATGTTCGAAAGGATAGAAACTATATTTTAATTTGGAGTTTCAAAAGCCTACCCCTGCAACAAAATAGAAGCTCAGTAAGTGTGTCATCCTCAAAATATCTGTGGGTCTTTTATGTTTATAATATTCTGACACCCAAAATGAGAGTAGTAGTTGAATTTTATGATCTGGATTGTTTAATGAGAGCTATCTTCCTTAACAAGTAATAACATCAGGAACTTAAACGAAAATTGAACATTCTGACTCGACCAAGGTATGAGATTTTTGAAATTACCCCATGGTTGTCCCTTATTATTTATCCTGATATTAATATTTAATCACAATTTCTTTGTAAAAAGTGTATAGGATTTCTGTATCATTTTTATTTGTTCAGCATACTCTGGGATAAGGTCTGAATTCTTATAAGTGGATTAAAATTTTAAGCTGATTTATTGGGTGAAAGTATGAAACACAATCCAGAAAATGTTGACTTAATGTTCAGAACAGGCAAGTTGTTAACCTAGTTATTCCTATTCAACAAACATTTCTAGAAAGCTAGAATTAAGATTACAGTTTTGGCTGGGTCTGGTGGCTCATGCCTGAAATTCCAGCACCTGAAAAAAAGGTTGCAGTATTATGGGCTGGGCGCAGTGGCTAATGCATGTAGTCCCAGCACTTTGGGAGTCTGAGGCAGGCAGATCATGTGAGGTCAGGAGTTCAAGACCAGCCTGGGCAACATGGTGAAACCTGTCTCTACTAAAAACACACAAATTAGCTGTGCGTGGTGGTGGATACCTATAATCCCAGTTGCTTGGGAGGCTTAGGCAGGAGAATCACTTGAACCCGGGAGATAGGGATTGCAGTGAGCTGAGATCATGCCATTGCACTCCAGCCTGGGTAACCAGTGAAACTCTTTCTGGAAAAAAAAAAAAAAAGATTACAATATTATTCTAGCTGATGATTTATTTACATAGTTAAAATGTGTTCATGGCTGGGCACGGTGGCTCACTCCTGTAATCCCAGCACTTTGGGAGACCAAGGCGGGTGGATCACGAGGTCAGGAGTTCAGTTCAAGACCAGCCTGGCCAAGATGTTGAAACCCTGTCTCTACTAAAAATACAAAAATTAGCTGAGCACGGTGGCATGCGCCTATAATCCCAGATACTCAGGAGGCTGAGGCAAGAGAATCGCTTGAACCTGGGAGGCGGAGGTTGCAGTGAGCCGAGATCG